CACACACACACACACACACACACACACACACACACACACACACACGTTGTGCATTCTTGACTGGTCCTGTTAGGGCATGAGCCATCTGGCCAGCTTTATTTAATTAATTTTTGTTTTTCTCCTGGTGTCTGGTGCTCAGTATCAGCTCTAGTCCTCAGGGTCCTCATTGGTATTCTGATCTCCATCCTCTGTGTTTGTTGGAGTCTTATAATTGGATGTGGTGCATGGCTTCCAGATGAAGTATAAAGGTTATGATTGTGGATATCTACTGTAAGGTAGAGGGACTGCAGAAGCAGGAGGGTAGTGAATAGACAAACATAGTTATTCTTTCTTTCTAGGCCCTTCCGTCCAAGTCTCCTCTGCTCTTTTGACTCATTTTCATATCATTAGTCTTTACAGATGATTTTTACTTGGATATGCTATGTTGGGTAGCCTTTGCATTTGCCCAAGGCTTAAGCACTGATAGGCAGGCAGGGGCCTAACATGTATTTTCCTCCATGTGGTGTAAGTAAGAAAGGAAAGATGGAATTCTAGGATACTAGAGAAGAGGCTGAGAGTCATCCTGTGGCATGAGAAACAGTCAAAACACTCTAATGCTACCTTCACTTGCCTGTCTGTCTGGCTCTAATAGGAACTGCATAGAAAAAAATGTCAGTGAAGTGTTGTTTGTTGTCAGCCTTGTCTATTGCAGAGCTGTGGCCGATTGGTCCAAAGGGCATTTCTGGCTCAGCAGAGTTATGGTTGAGGCAGTCCACGGAAGCATGTCTTACATCCTAGCCGCCCCTTCTTTGCCCAGAGTTCTGTGTCTAGAATCTTGGACTCATGAGGGGTGTTACTTGGCCACTATGACAGGTGAGTGGGTTATGGCCTCCATCTTCATCCCATCATGCTCTCTCTGATGCAGGTCTTTACTGGAGTGTTGCTGCACAGAACCTCCAGGGAACTACAAAGTGTTTCCTGTTGTTCTTTTTTAGCCCATGAAAGACAACCAGTCCCTGTTTCTGAAGCAGAATCATCTCTTTGTCATGCTTTTAGCTACCCAGGTTCCTGTATTCTCAGCCTTTGAGAATCTTAGGGAGAAGAATTTCTCATCTCCTGGACCAAAGTGTATGTCAGGGAGAGGCTGAAGTGGGTGTCTCAGGAGAGCACGTATGATCAAGGGCTTGCAGGCCGATTGTGAATGTTCTGCTTTCTGTTCTGAAAACTAGGCTGAGGGTTAATCAACTGTGAGAGTGTAGCCAGTCTTGGGGCACAGCAAGGAGAAACCCTGTGGCATGGCACAGTCTCTAAGTGGTAAGAATCCACTGGAAGGCAAATAGAGAACAGCTTTGGGGTCAGACATTTCCTTTGTCCAGGGTAGCATAAGTCAGTCCCGGACTAAGAATAGTTACCTTACACTCAGCTTTACCATCTCCCAGAGCTGTAGGATGAGCTGGATTCAGCCCTTGCTATGCCAGAATTTCTAGGCATGACCCAAGTTCCCTTCTCTCTCTAGGCACCAAGCAGATGCCACAGGGTCATCATGTTTGAAATTCACTTG